GGAGGGGGGAGGGAGGCTGAAGAGAGAACAGGCAAACAGATTACCTCCTATGCTCCCACTTTCGGCATTTCTCATTACCCAGGGCTTGTTTACAGTCTTACTAATGAAGAATTTGCTCTTTAACAAATCTTTCCTCCATCAATTGAACAAAAACAGTTGTGAAACCTCCCAAATTAAGAAACTGTACACACTGGTTTCCTCCTTCAAAAGCCACGTGTGCGCCATCGCGTCGGCTCCGCACAAGCCAGGACTGCCTCCAGGTCTGTCCTCCGCCCCCACGGCCACCAGTAGAGAAAACCCCACCTGTGTTCCTCTTGCACAACATCACCCATTCAGCTCAGAGAGCCCAACTGAAATCACCGAGTCGGTGCCAAAACAGACAGCTTTTATGTGAAATAATAACAGGGCAGACTCGCAAATGAAAAAGCGTCTGCCAGGCTCTCAGCAGAATCCACCAGAAACCCCAGATAATAAAAGTATGGTGGGGGCATCTAGGACAAGGGGACACCCACAGAAGTTCAGAGCACTAATTCAGAAAAAAAAGGGGGGGGGAGGAAGAAGGAAGGAAGCGAGGGAGGAAGGAAAAGGGGAAGGGAAGGAGGGAACTGAGAGGCACAGGAGCTAAACCGTTCTCTGACTGAGAAGTGCCCTGTGGAGAAGACGGACTGCCACCTGGCTCTGTCAGTGAGTGACCCCTGGCTCTGGCATGTGCAGTGCTGCAAAGAAAAGCCACAGAAATGTACCAAGTAAATAACATTCCAGACATACTGTTGGCAGCACTTCACCCTTTGGGCTAAAACAAAACACAAGTAACATGAGGCCTTACACACAGGCTCAAAGACAAGCCTGCACCAGAGGGGTCTGCCGGCCAGAGACCCAGACGGTGCACCGGTTACAGAGGCTCTAGGGCTGACCGGCTGCTCCACCCGGGAAGGTTACACAAGCTGATGACTGTTCCTGAAGAAAAAGCCTGCCCTGTCCTGTGACCCGATCACTGTTTTGTCCCAGTGGGGAAGCCTATCCAAGGCCCATTTATGCAAATATCAAAGTCTGCGAAGGCCAAAGGAATGCACAAAAGCAGCTGTGTGTGTTTGCGGTGGCGGTGGGGGTGGAACTGTGTTCCCTGCCCTTTAGTGTCTCCCCTCCAGCAGTCTGTCTCCACCAGACCTCCTTCCCCACCTGCCAGTAACTTGGGAGACACAACCCTGGCTGTGGTGTGGCTTGGTGGGTTCAGGACAGGCCCTGGCATTGCTGGAATCCCATCTAAATTCCCACTTCCCATCCTTAGTCCCTTCTTCTTGGCCGGGGAAAAATGTATTTCCTGCTGTCCTCTGGGAAAGACCGACGCTGACACCCCCCCCACGGGAAGGAAGGCCCCTCAGTGCACATGGCTGGCCCTCCTGCTAGCGGTGGGAGAGCATGGGCCTCGCCCTGAGAGGCAGGCTCCGGCTCACGCCAGGCCCCAAGCGCTCCTGCAGGGGGGCTCACGGGGCGGGCTTTCCTGCGGGGTGCCCCAGGGTTATAGTTCCTCACGAAGGAAGTGGCTTTTCTTAAAACTAAATTAAAACATAGATGAGATTTTAATAACCTGTCTCAAGGGTTAACAAAATTCTGACATAAAAGCACAATAGAATATTCTTTCAAGGATAATTTCCTTCTTTCCTTTTGACCCTAAATATCAGAATTTCTCAAGTTAAGTAGAATTTTTAAACGGCCTTTTTCAACAGTGAGTGAAGAAAAGTATAATGTTCGTAAATTCACTTCACGGAGTGGTATTAAGTATTCCTTTACCCAGAGAGGATCTACTGCATGCCCACCTTCAAAACACAATGGATGGTTTAAATTTTCCACGCCTACCTTAACCTTGATTTATAAGTTTCACCCCTGGCTCCCCACACATCCCGGTTCTCAGAATCTATTCATGGCCCTAATCAGCCAGCAGTTCATCAGTCTCCACGCTGACAGGGCCCATTTGAAAACAGGTTTCCTTTTTTCTTTTTCCCCCCTGAAAGGGCCTGTGTCAAATGCCTCTAAAAATGCCAAACTGTCAATTCATCATCCTGACAGAGGATGGAAGAAAATCACTAGGATGACATCTTCATCCTAAAAATGGTGGTGCTTTTTAAATCACAGAGTTTATCATTTTTCCCAAATAAGAGACGGGCAGGAAAATAATATTTTCAGCACTCAGAAAGCACCAGGCCTCTTGCTTGTGTTCTCTTTGGCTGCAAGCGGAGGAGGAGCACATGGGGCAGAGCGGGGCCGGCGACAGCAGGACACGTGCTCTCATTCTTTCCCGGGAGACCACCAGCGGGGCTGCCTCCCCACAACGGCCACGTGGTATTGCTTGTCTGTTGCCCTGGCCCTCTGAGATTAAAAATATCATTTCTGGTCTGAAAACAGTTTCTTAAGACGGTTCCTAAAAGCTGCCTCCCCACCCAGAATAGAAGGCTGGGACCGTTAACTGGAAAGATGCTTCTACCAGAGAGGAAGGAGCGCGGGAGTCGCTCCAACCCCGTGGGAGGGATGCAGTTTGGAGCGGAAATGAAGAATTTCATCAGATCTTAAGCAGGGGCCGGCTGTGATTTATTTCTGCTTTGTCTAGGGAGACGTGACCAGCGTGGGCCATCTTGCTGCTCAGCACTTATCTGCTCGGGTCCCGGCTGCTGCCTCAGCTGGTCCGGGCAGCCTGCGGGTGGGACCAGACGCACAGGAAATGGCCTTTGGTTCAGGACAAGAAGAGCCCTGGGCTGCCCCACCCGTTACACTGGAGCAGATGCCAGTTCCCCTCAGGGGAAGCGATTCACTTTTTATACAGATCCCCGGGAGATGCGTCCAGGAAAGAGACTTATATTCATCAACTTTTGAACTTTGGTACATTCAGAGTTTTTATCAATTTCAAGGACCCGTGGAGCCCAACTTCCCATCACAGAAAGGAAAGAGGAACCACAAAAGAGGGAAACTGAGGCTCCTTTCCCTCCAAAGTGAAACTGGATAATTCTAAGGGTCTCATAACCACATGAGAGCAACTTTTGCTCGCATGACTAATTACCGCTAATTTAATTTGCACAACTCGCAGGAGTCTGGGGCAACCTAAAAGGGAGGTCAAATGCCCTTACCCCTCCCTCAGGCTCAGAGCAGGTTCTCTCTTTCCTTCGTGAGCTGTGAAGATATAAGCCAGCACCTCAACCGACCGCTCAGCTCCCGCCCTGGATCTGCGCAGTGAGATCCCTCCCGCCCTCTCTCCCAGATGCAGTCAAATGCAGCGCACTCATCTGTTGTCCCAAAGGCAAAGGTGTGGCTGGGTGACCCAGCAGGGTCCCTGTGCCCTTCTGGAGCTCAAACTGCTCCCTAGGTACTAGTCACCTTCCTTTGCCCCCATCTGGCATTTGCTGTGGCCACACAGTTGGTCTTTAAACTGCAGCCGTAGATGAGAAAATGGTATTTTGCGGAAACCAGTTCTAAAAATATAAAGAAAACTCGCTACCTCTGGCCCAGCCAGCGTGGCTCAGCAGTTGAGCATCAACCTAGGATCCAGGAGATCCAAGTTTGATTCCAGATCAGGGCACATGCCCAGGTTGAGGGCTTGATCCCCGGTGGG